TATTCTCGGCTACACGTAAGAGTGACCCTTGGCCAGAGTGACCTTTAGTGTTGGCACTACTGGGGTCGGACAGATTTTCTTGAGGAGTGCGCTCAGCCTCGTGTCGGCGCATGCTGCACCAGTCTGCGATCGCATCAGAGCGCGCTGGATTCAGGGTGCGCCCCTCGCAATCGATCGCAACGCATGCACGTTGCATTCAGCCGCGTGCTTCGTTTGGCGAGGGGGGGCCCAGTCGAGCGGGCGACGTGCTCTCCGCTTTGGACTGGTCCCAAATCGTCATGGAATTACTTGGATTAGCTTTGGCTAACTTTGACAAACTTTGAATAACTTTTCGCACTCCGCGCTTTACAATTCAATTCTTTACTTTGAAAGTTATGTGCGACCGCGGGGGGGCCAAGTTTCGGCCCGGTTTCGGCCTTGACGCCGGACCCGGTCAGACGTCATCGCGATGCGGCCCAGCAGTGCCAGAACATTCCGCGGTGGCGCCCGATTACGTCTGGTTTCGCAGAGCCCTCGGGCGGGTGTTCTGGGGCGCCCAGAACGAATTGGCGGAAGTCCGCAATTGCCTGCTGGCGCTAGGGATCTATCGAAGCGCGCCCCGCCGATCGTTGATGCAATCCGACGGCCTCGGCTTGCGCGGTTGCTCCAGGCCCCCACGGGCCCCCCTCAGGCCGCGCACCAAAGGGCACTCTTGCCTAGGGTCACTCTTACGTGTCGCTGATATTCGCCGTCACCGCCAACGTCGCCGCTTCGTCGCCGCTCGTCGCTTGAGCATGCCCGTCGCCTGGGCCCGGGTGTCGGCTCGGCCAGCATGTTGTCAGCAAGTACTCGTAGATGGAACAGAAGTTGGAGAGACTTCCACCACGACAGTTCTCGATCTCGGGATTTCCTTTGGAACGCGCCAACCGCTGGCCGAGGATCACATGCAGCATTTCCCGCATTAGCTGTTCAAGCGGCTGGTTTGAATTATACATCCGAGCGGATCGCCACCTTCCGAGGAATAATATTTGCGCACATGGCGATCACGTTCTCGGATGTTGTGACAGGGAGTTCGGTCGGGGGAGGCGCGTTGTTCCAAGCCGGCCATCTCACGGTGACGGGCGCCCTATCTCGCCGTTGCAAATGTTTGTTTGAATTCATACGTGGATACATTGGTTTCCAGTCTCAAGGTTCCGAGCAGTCAGTGTCGCATGATATTTTCGCTGCAGCCATGGGGGCGCGCGGGATTCCCGTTTCCAGGACAGTGCAAGCCCCCGCGCCCCCCCCTGCCACGGCAAGTGCTGCATCCAGGCCCCCACAGGCGCTCACTCGCGTCCGCCGCTGGGGTCGGGCCCAACAACTCGGGCTCCAGGTCCAGGATTCGGAGGAGACGATGGGGGCGAATAGCCCAGGGGCGAGCACAACACGCATTCGCCCCGGAGCCTCGCCGAAGGCATGGTCCATCGGCGCCTTAGGACGTACTCAGCGGCGGCAAAGAGGGGGGTGAGGGTGATGACTAGGTGTGTGTGTGTGTGTGTGTGTGTGTGTGCGTGTGTGTGGATATCATGGCGTGGGCCATGACAATTCCCCAGATGTCATGGCGCCCCTCCTCATCTCATTACGTCCCTGGCCCCCTCCCTGGACCGCGCCGCGCACATGCCGCCGGCCATGAGTTGCCCCCCCCTTCTTTGACGCCCCCCTGTTGGCCGCCCCCGATACAGGTACTGCTCTCCTGAATGGGTCCCTGGGACACACATTATAGATACACACAAATACAAGGATTCCCCATGTTTTCTCATGTTTTCCGGGCTTTCGTCTCCCCCCCCACCCACCTCCCACATTTTCCCAGAGATCTTCCTGGGGATCGACGATTCCTTGTGTCTGCGCGTGTTTTTTCCCCTCCTTCCTGTCCAAGGCGTACCTTTTCCTGTGCAAACTCTTCCGCACCGCCTGCACCCCGCGCCCCCCGGCCGCCTGAGGCCCCGCCCGCCCGCGCCCTGCCTCCCCAATTAGTGCTTTGCGCGGCCCGCCTAGCTCTTAATGGAGGATGACGATTAATAAATGACCGGGGGTCGTGTTCACGCGGCGGCGCCCGGGATGACGATTAGAAAAAACCGGCCGCGAGCTGGAAAACTATTTTTTAATCGTTCGCCTCCAGTCCGAAAATTGTGCAGAAATCGCAGAAACATATGTTTTAAATCGTTCTCTCGACCCGCAGACCAAAAAAGTTGTTTCCCTTCCCGTTCCCCCTCTGGGGCCTTTCGCCCGCCCCCCCCCCCCGAGGAGGAGGAGGAGGAGGCGGAAAATAAGGAGGAAAAGGAGGGAGGGGAGGGAGGAGGAGGAGGAGGAGGAGGATGGAGGTAGGAGGAGGAGGAGGAGGAGGAGGAGGAGGAGGAGGAGAGGAGGAGGAGGAGGAGGAGGAGGAGGGAGAGGAGAGGAGGAGGAGGAGGAGGAGGGAGGAGGAGGTGGAGGAAGGGGGAGAGGAGGAGGAAGGAGAGGAGGAGGGAGGAGGAGGAGGAGGAGGGGAGGAGGAGGAGGAGGAGGAGGAGGAGAGAGGAGGAGGAGGAGGAGGAGGAGAGGAGGAGGAGGAGGAGGAGGAGGAGGAGGAGGGAGGAGGAGGAGGAGAGGAGGAGGGAGGAGGAGGAGGAAGGAGGAGGAGGAGAGGAGGGAGGAGGAGGAGGAGGAGGAGGAGGAGGAGAGAGGAGGAGGAGGAGGGGAGGAGGAGGAGGCCCCCCGAGGGTGCCCGGCCTCCTGTGCCCGGAGGTGCGGGGCCCTCGGGCAGCGCCGCGCGGGGGTCGGGCCGCGCAGAGGCCAGGGCCTCGACCAGGACCCCGTTCGTGCAGGAGGGGAAACCACACACGGACACGAAGACCTCCTCCTCGCCCTCGCCCTCGCCCTCCTCCTCCTCCTCCTCCTCCTCCGCCCGCCCTCGTCCTCGCCCTCGCCCCCCTCCTCCTCCTCCTCCTCCTCCTCCTCCTCCTCCTCCTCTTCCTCCTCCTCCTCCTCGCCCTCGTCCTCGCCCCCGACGCGGGGAGCGCGAGACGCGGAGCCGGCCGGGGCCCCCCCCGTTGTGCAGGAGGGAGATCGATCGAAAAACGCATCGAAAACATCCAGGCGGAGGTTCTTCACCATGCTCGGCCTCTATAGGGGTCCTCGCCGGGCCCCGGGGCCGTCCGAGAACGACTCGGGATGAAAAGCCGGTCCTGGGGAAGGGGTCGAGATTTCCGGGGACCGCGCATTGAAGCAATCGCGACATCAGGACACACAGACGCAATGAATCGTTGATTCCCCCGAAAATGTAGGAACATACGGGAAGTGGGGGGGAAGGCAAGAAGCCAGAAAATATGGGGAAATATGGGTGATCCTGTTGTTTGCGTGTATTTATGTGTGTGTGTGTGTGTGTGTGTCCCAGGGCCCCTTCAGTTATGATGCTCCAACCTGCTCTAGCCTTGATCGCCAGAAGGAATTGCGAGCACCAAGAGGATACCGAAACTTGAGGCCTTTCACACGTCGGGCCCCGAGAGGCGTTTTCCGTTCGACGCTGTTTCGATCCTTGTCCGGGGTGCTCGAAATGAGTTCTGGGATGTGGTCCTGAAGTTACCATGGGAGCAACATAAGTTTCGCGGCCCTCTTGCAGCCTGCTCGACCGGGCGCCATTTCGTGGGTATTGAGCGGTGCCGCCTGCCTGACTTGACACCGCCAGAGTGAAGATCGGGCGCGTGCGCCGATGGCCACTGAGCTCGCATGGAATTCGGTCGGTCGAGGCCGGGCCCTCCGCCTCTGGGCGCTGAGCTGTGACCGCAGCGTCGACGCTAGGGGGCAAGTGGGCAAGTGGGCCGCTGCTGCGTGGAAGGGCCGGCGATCGGATGTCCTGCAAGTGGGAGGGCCGGCAAGTGGGCTGGCAGGCAAGGGAGGGCTGGCAAGTCCCTCTGCAGGAGGAAAGATTCAAAAATTGTCAAAAAGTAATCTGGGGACGATTTGTTTTATCATTTCTGACCATTCTTGCATATATGTTTGCGTACTTTTTTTACTTGTCGTCCAAAATCCCCCTGTAGGGGAACATGCCCGACCTAAACGTAAGAGTGCCCCTTCGCCAGAGTGACCTTTGGTGCGGGCCCGGTGGGGTCCCCGATCGCTGAATACGAAGCGGCAGCAGCGCCATGCGCGCCCAGGTCTGGCCACCCCGCTTTCCCGGTGTAGGCGCGCACCAGATGTCATTCTTGCATAGGACCCTTCTTACGTGTAGCCAGACCAAGGGCCCCGCCTTAGCAGTGTTGGCCATGTCGAGTCTGCTGGGCGGGTTGCGACCGCTGTCCCAGGTGCTTGGAGATCATGCGGGCGCCCTCTGGGTCTTTCGGCGGACGGCCCCCAGCTCCCTCAAGGGAATTATTGCTGCCTGGTCCGAGTGCCTGGAGTTTTGAGAGTGGGCCACCGCGCAGAAGTGTGTCATCTCGAAGCCTTCCTTGGAGCCCATCAGAGCTTCGCTCAAGAGGAAGGGCAACCGCCTCTTCTCCCCCAACAGCGTCGCGCGGCCACATTTGCATGCATTGACATACACACACATGATGAAATCTGGCGAGCGGGATACGGATACACTCGCGCTGGCCAGTCCTATGGGCACGAGGAAGGGTGCCGGCGACATCGTATTTGTCGCTGCCCCTAGCGCAAGCACGCCCGCGCGGAGACTGCGGAGGACGAGGGCCTCCAGGCGATAGTTCTCCGAGACGAATCCTCCTCCTCATCCCCCTCGCCCTCTCCCTCTCCCTCCTCCTCCTCCTCCTCCACCTCCTCCTCCTCCACCTCCTCCTCCTCCTCCTCCTCCTCCTCCTCCTCCTCCTCCTCCTCCTCCTCCTCCTCCTCTGGTTCTTCCACTTCTCTCCCCCTGCTCCTGCCCCTCGTCCTCGCCCTCCCTCCCTCCCTCCCTCCTCCGCCCCCCCCGTCGCTGCCGTCGCCGCCGCCGCCAAGCGCCCTCCGCCGGCCGCCTCCGCCGGCGCCTCCGCCGGCGGCCGCCCGCCGCGGAGGGCATCGTCCCGCGGCGGGCGGAGATCATGGCCGCGCGGAGCTGCGAGCTCATGATCGGCGGGGCCCTCGGCGTGCCCGGGGCGCTCGCGCGCAGGGGGGGCACGCGGGAGCCTCGAGACGCCGGGCGATCGCAGGCACGGAGCAAGGGGGGCGTGGATATTGGCGACGGGTCTTACCAGCCTCGAATGTATCCCTATCCCTAAGATTGACACGCCAAAAGGCGATGACAATCTTAGGGATGCGCCCTCAAAAAATAGGGGAGTCCCTAAGATTGGCATCGTGATGAGGAGGTGCCCAGCATAGGGATAGGGATATGTTCCATGCTGGTAAGGGTCCCGTTTCGAGTGGGAACTCGCGGGCCTCCGCCGCCGAGCGAGGCGGCACCTCCCGAACTGTGGGGAGGGCACCTCCCCCGATCCATGGACTTGGCGATCGCGCGCCACAGCCATGGGTCGCTCATCCATGTTTGCGCGCCCCCGAGAGACGGGGCATCGGTGCCACCGAAACGGGGTGCGTCAGAGCGCCGGATCCTGCAGGATCCTGCAGGGCCAGGGCTGCATCGGCCCGAGCCAGGGTGTGCCAGATCGTGCAGGACCCTCGAGGAATGCTGCAGGGCCTGACTGACCCGGGCTTGGGTTGACCCGGGTCACAAGATCCCCTCCTCCTCCTCCTCCTCCTCCTCCTCCTCCTCCACTTCGTCCCTTCCTTCGGCTACGCGTAAGCGCGGCCTTTTGCCGGAGTGACCTGTGGTGCGGGCGCGCCGCGGACCTCTGATGCTGGGCACACTGGGGCCACCTCAGGTGGCTGAACGCAATGCGATGGCAGCGCCTTGCGCGCGCTGGTCCCCGAAAGTCGCGCACCAAAGGTCGCTTTTGCCAAGGGTCACCCTAACGTGTAGCGATTCCTCCCCCCTCTCCACCACCTTCTCCTCCTCCTCCTCCTCCTCCTCCTCCTCCTCCTCCTCCTCCTCCTCCTCCTCCCCCTCCTTCCGATACGCAGTCAAGCAGTCAAGATGCAATGCGCAAAGCAATCAGACACAAGCACTGCCCTTGTCTCTGCGTTTCTGCTCGCATGCACTCCCTCAGGCTCCACCTCCACGACATGATAAATTGACACATTGAAGAATCTGGTGATGGACGTGGGGTGAAAGCACGCGTGCTGGATGAGATGGAGTTTCGTCCCTGGTGTCTCGCATGCGCTCCGTCTCGGGCTGCCCACCCACACTACAGTCAGTGGAAACTTCTTGGTCGTGAAATGTTAGACTGCATGCTACTAGAAGCGTGTGCGCACGCACGCACACGCGCTCAGGATGGGGCTGGGGCTCTGGCTCGGTCTCCAACTCGCGTCCAGGCTCGAGCTCGGGCTCGCGCTCGCGCCCGAGATTGCGCGCGCACGAACGCGCACCCGCGCACGCTCGCGCACACGTGCTCGCGCTTGCACAGGCGCACGCTCACGCACTGCCCCCGTTTAAAAGCGAGGCTCGGCTACAATGCTTGGATTCCCACCCCTTGGCCCCGTCCCATGGCCTGAAGCGCCCGAAGCGGGGCGTGGTAATCCAGCGCCCACTTTTGACAAAGAAAGGTCGCTCCAGCAGATCAAGCCGTCAAGAAGCTTAGGCTCCAGCAGTTGTTGCGAAGGACGCTGCTTCCAGCAGCCAACGGCGTGGGCTCCAGCACCCAGTGTTCACCAGGGGCAGTGGTTCCAGCAGACTATGCCGCGATGCGATATGCTGCGCTGCCACTGCTGGGTTGCAGCCAGATCGCCGCCGATTGGGAGTCGGTGACGTGATGCTCATAGTGTGCTGGCACTCCCGAGACTCCCCCAGGAAGAGCAGGGCGGCAGCGCAGAGAAGCGGGCTGTGCCGTGCTCTACGCTGCACCGCGCACCCTCTCGGGATCATTGCCCTGCTCGACAGAGAGGAAATCTACGCCGTAGTAAGGGATGGGAGGGAGGTGTAGGACGTCAGATATGACGCGACCGCACCTGGCTTGCCCTCCCCGCCCCCGCCGCCCACCAAACCATTCCAACCCAACCCGAAGACCCTGAGAGAGCAGCAGGGCCAGACGGGTGATCACTGCACCTGGACACCGGTGACCACACGGCTGATCAAAGCAGGCTTGCGAGCACCCCAAGCAGCTCCAGCAGCGCCATGCCCTGGCGCTCTGGCCGGCTCCCTCCCCCTTCTCACCCCTCCTCCTCCTCCTCCTCCTCCTCCTCCTCCTCCTCCTCCTCCTCCTCCTGTGTCCTCGTCTGCCTCATCCTCCCTCCTCCTCCTCCCTCATCTGCCTCCTCCTCCCTCCCTCCTCCCGCGGGCGTGCGCGCTGGCTGCTGGCCTCCCGGACGGCAGCCCTGCGGTGCGGGCAGCACGTTCTTTTTTTGTTTTTGTTTTTTCTAGTTCGCTGTCGCCAGCGCGCTCTGCTCGGGCCCCCGGGGGGCGGACACGGCGCTCGCCCCGGGGCAGGGCTCGGAGACGGGCGCCGTCGACAAGCGCCGTCGAGGGGTGCCCATACAGCGGGGGCGCGCATCGCCAGGGTATCCTGGGTTTCCTGGGTATCGCCAGCTTCCTGGGTATCGCAGGGTTCCTGGGTTTCCTGGGTGTCCTGGGTTTCCTGGGTATCGCAGACGCTAAGCTTTTCGCCAGGGTGTCCTGGGTTTCTTCGGTCCTCGCGCTGCGCGGTGACTTCCCGCAGCCGTTGGAGGAGCTGCTGCGTTCAGGGTGCTCCCGATGTTTTCCTTCAGGTGCACCTCGCGCACGGGCTCTCAGGGTGGGGTTTCTTGCGAGGGTCTCTTGCGGCCGCGCCCGCACCGTAAGGGAAAGAACGAGGACAGAACCACAAAACTCGGAGGTCCGCGCGGACCTCCGAGGTCTCATGCTGATGTCATTCTTCGTTCCCCCTGCCGAGCGCACGGCTTGGCCCCGAGGCCGGTCGATTCTGGAACAGCAGGGAGGCAGGAGCAGAGGGGAGCCGACGCCGCCTTTCGCGCGGCGGCGGCGTCGGTGGCTCGGCGAGAGGGTTCGGAGCAGGCGGCCGTGCGGCGCGAAGGGGTCCACCAGGTCGCGGTGGTGGTCGCCCGCGGATGCGCCACGAGGCTGGGCAAGCGGAGGACCGCGATTCGGCGGCGAGCGAGGGAGGGAACTGCGAAGGAGAAGGCCTTCTCAGGAGGCGGCGGGGCTTCCCAGACGCCCTCGCGCCTTCTGAGAAGTTTTTGTCTGTCTCTGGGGGAAGGCTTAGAAGACTTCTCAGAAGACCGGGGGACTTCCGAGCCTTCTGAGAAGGTCCGCCCCTTCTCAGTTTCCCCCCCCGCGCTCGCCGCCAAATGATGGTGGCTGGGGAGGCAGCGTGGGCCGCCGCGGCCGCAGCAGCTCTCGGGGCGGGAGCGAGAGGCGTGGCCCATGTCCCTCCTGCGCAGCTGCACGTCTGTGTCTCTGTCTGTCTCTGAGCCTCCGTGCCTTCTCTCCGTCTCTCCGCCCCTTCCTTGACCTCCCCGCCTCCTTCCACGCGTCCTGCCCCGGTGGCAGGCTGAGCAGGGCTTGCTTCTCTCTTTTGCAGTGGCGCTCCCCAGAGTGGCGCGCGCTCTCCCGGGCGATGACCTTCCGAGGGCTCCCCCGTGGACCGAACAGACCGTTACGTTACGGCTGCAGGCGCGGCATAGTCCGCCTCCCTGTGCTTCTCTTCTCCTGCTCGTCTCTATCTCTCCTCTTCCCCTGTTCGCCTTTATTTTCCTTTGTCCTCCTCCCTGTGCTTCTCTCCTCCTGCTCGTCTCTATCTCTTCTCTTATTTTCCCCCTGTTCGCCTCTATTTTTCTTCGTCCTCCTCCCTGTGTTTCTCTCCTCCTGTTCGTCTCTATCTCTTCTCCTCCTCCTCCTCCTCCTCCTCCTCCTCCTGTTCGTCTCCGTTTCTCGTCGTCCTCCTCCCTGTGTTTCTCTCCTCCTGCTCGTCTCTATCTCTCCTCCTCCTCCTGCTCGTCTCCGTTTCTCGTCCTCCTCCTCCCTGCGCCTCTCTCCTCCTGCTCGTCTCTGTTTCTCCTCCTGCCTGCCTGCCTGCCCTGCGCCGCGGCCCCGCGCGCGCCCGCCCCGCCGGCAGCGCGGCGGCGGCCCTGTGCGGCCAGCGCAGGTCTGAGATCCTCCTCCTCCTCCCTCCTCCTCCTCCTACTCCTCCCTCCTCCCTCCTCCTCCTCCTCCTCCCTCCCTCCTCCCTCCTCCTCATCCATCCTCCTCCTCCTCCTCCTCCTCCTCCTCCTCCTCCTCCCTGCTCCTCCTCCTCTTCCTCCTCCTCCTCCTCCTCTCAAGTAATTTGGGCCCAGGCATTCCAGGATTTGCCTGAGTCCAGGCCTCTGGGCTTCCGAGCAGCGCTTGAGGGACTGCACCCCAGAACCCGCCAGATTTCTAGGGTGCCGACGAACACAGAGGCAGCATGGCACGGTTGTGGTCGCGATGCACGATTTGCAGTAAATGCGAGTGGAACGCGAAGCTTCTCCAGCAGAAGAAGGTGTGCTCGGGCTGTGGCACAACAGTCGAGCTCTACGCGAGGAAGAAGAAAGTCTCCTTCCAGCGGGACACGTTCAACTCGGACGACGAGTTCTTGGACGCCTGGAGCGGCGATGAGGAGACTGAGGCAGGCGGACTTCGCCAGCCCCTTCCTGCTGGCCCAGTGGGTATCCTCAGGGGTGGGCCACGCAGCCCGTCACCAGGGGGCTCCCGAGGTGGAGGCAAGGGAGGTAAAGGTGGTTCAGGGCAAGTGCGTCAGCTGCTTCAGCAAGCATGCGACGCCTCCCAGGACCCAGGGCTCCAGCAGGTGCTGAAGTCCCAGATCGACCAGCTCGCCAAGACGAGCACGGCCCCTGACCCCAGGGAGACGCCCGTGGAGGCGCTCAAGAGGGTCGAGGGCATGGTGAAGAACGCCGAGCACATGCACGAGCAGGCGGTGAACAGCGTCTTTCGGCTCCGCGGCAACCTGGCCGCGGCGGAGCAGAAGGAGGCGGCGGCAGCGACGGCCTTAGCAGAGGCTCTTGCTGCGAAGCGAGCGGCCACGGCTGCCTTGGCCAAGGCTGAGGGCATTGGCCCAGAAGACGACAAGTCGAAGCAGGACGGGAAGCTCTTCAGCATCGGTTGGGATGCCCAGTTCTTCGAGAACTTGGCCGACATGGAGTGCACCGATGGCGAGAAGACCGAGCTCGAGGGCATCCGCAAGCAGCTGGAGGAGGCTAAGACGTCCCTGGAGAGCAAGGAGACCGAGATCCGCCACTGGCTGGAGACGACGGCGAGGCACAAGGCGGCGATCCAGGAGAGGATGGCCAAGAAGCGCCGCGGCGCCGATGGGCATGAACGTGTCTTGGCCTTGTGTGCCGTCGACGGGGCGCTGCGAGCCAAGCCAGAGGCGGCGGCGGCCGACGGCAGGCAGCCCTGTGCCGGAGGAGGACCCGCGGCAAGGCTCCCAAAGGAGGCATCAAGCAGGGCAACAGCGGCGGTCGCCGCCAAGTTCCTGCCAAGGCTAGCAGGCCAAGGGCGGTGGGCATGGCATCGGGCGGCGGCGGACTAACGCAGCGTGCGTGCCGGTCCCAGAACGGTGACCCCTCAGACCCTTACTGAGGGGCCTGCCGCGAATGATGAACGAAACTACGTTTTTTTACTCGAAACTTCACTGAGCTGACCGATAAAGGCATGGCAAATCATTTCGCAGCGGGCACGCACTTAGATCATTGGGCCCATCGTCGAGACTCACGTTCAGCAGGAGTCCGAAGTACGAGAGTGGGATAAAAAAGCACGGCAATTGTTCTTGCGGATGGCGGTCAACCGCGCACGACCGTCAGGCAAGATCGTCAGTGCAGCCAAGCAGCGCCGTTCCAACGAGGGCGGTGAGATCTTTTTGTCACGGAACCATCTGCAATGTCATATTCTGCCAGAGGCGAGGACCTCCATGCGCCAGCTCAAGGCCGGCGTGCAGAACAGCTTCGACGGCTTTCTCCCGATGCTCATGCACCAGTCGGGGTTCTCTACTGTCATTGTTGTGCTATATTCACTCCCAAGCATCGGAATGACGGGCTTGAACCGAGAACGCTTTCGCAGACTCGGAGGCTTGTTGAGGGCGATGCGCATTCCTTGGGCAGTGATTGGGGACTGGAACATGACTCCAGAGGCGCTGGTGCGGTCGAAGTTCGTGGAGAAGGTGGGTGGAGTTCTGCGCGTAGCTGATGTAGTAGGCACATGTGCGCAGAAAAAGGGAGAACCCGATAGCATGATAGATTACCTAGTTATGAGTGAATATGCGATTCCACTCGTGCGTAGTTTAGAGCCTGTGCGTGATGTAGCCTGGAAGCCTCACATAGCGCTCGTTTTGCGTCTTTGGTCGTCGGGGCTTAAGCTGCAAACTAGGGTCCTCCAGGTCCCGTGTAAGCTACCGCAAGTTCCCCGACCGAGGACGGAGCCAACTGTAGGCTCCAAGGCCAGCAAAGCCAAGGCCAAAGCTTCCGTAGCCCGTGCTGCTGCTCACGAAAAGCGAGTAGCGGATTTTCAAGAACAATTCGGTGACTGTTTTGACCAGGCTGAGGGGTCGAGAGCTTTGGAGGGTGAAGGGGCCCTCGAGGAGCCTCATGATTTTCTTGAGCCTGATTTTTTGGACCCCGAGGAGGAAGAAGATCCTTGGGCCTCCGAGCTCAACTTCTGTAGTGATAATAACCTAGCTGCTGCGTTCCAGTGTCAGCCTGTTGATGGGGGAAAGGCCCCACCCAGCGGTGCGCCCAGTGTGCCCATGTGCGACCGAGCCCCGATGGAAAAAGAGCCTCTCGTAGAGTCTGACAATTCGGTTACGTGCGAGGCCCAGCCCCCCTGCGTTGAGCCAGTCAGTACCCCCGTAGAGCAGCAGTCTCCTGACCGTAGTGCGCCTGACACAGAGAGGGGCAATTTATTGGACTCTAGGCGGCCTCTTCAGAAGGAGGAGAGGGGCAAAATTTTGGACTCTAGACGGCTTCTTCATGGCCGTGGTGACACTACACTGCCGCAGGATAATGCCAGCGAGGTCGCGTTTGAAATCCCAGTTGAGACTTGGATGGAAAGTCGGCACTCGATTGGATTTTCTTCCGGCGCCGATGTGGTGCAGCAGGCCTCCCCCTTCCTCACCTCCTCCGTAGCCTTTCGGCTCGAACCTCGGCAAAGCGTAGCCATCGCTGGCATGTACGCGTCGTGGGTTTCTGCTGTGGAGAAGGCTGTCCGTACACATCATGATCTTCAGGTCGCCCCTGGGGTGCCGCGTGCATGCGGGCCCAGGTTTTCCGTGCAGCCCATGCGCGTGGTCGCGCACGCCAGGGCCCTCCCGCTCAGGGATCAACGTAGCCAATGGTGGACGAGAGTGCACACCCTCTTGCATGGAGTGGCCAGGCATCGTAGTCGTAACAACGGTGCTAAGCAGCTGCAGGACATGTACGAGGCGCGCCGCAAACTTCGTGAAGGCCGACCAGAGCGAGTCCATGGAGTACTTAACCTCGCTCGTGACCCTCCTTGGGAGCAATGGCTGCAGGCATTACGAGACCCTGGTGGTATCAACATTGCTGTCTTGGAATCGTATGTGGATGCGGCCAAACGTATCATGGGCAGAGCTCAGCGGGCGGCTATGAAAGAATCCTTATCAGAATTTCAATCGTGGGTGGTCGAACCTACAGCGGCAGGGGTGTTGCACAAATCGCTGAGGCCTCAACCGTTGCCGACGATGGAGGTCTTTCGTGACGGGAAAGTGGTGCAGCACCAATCGGAAGTGATGAATCTGAACGCGGAAAAGTTCAAGCAATTGTGGGCCCCGTCAGTCCCACAGGTTTCTGAAGTGCGCGAGATCTTCAGGACCATCAGAGTTGCAGCAGAAATGGAACCCTTACCGCCGATCCAGGTCGATCAGATCTATGCCAGCGCCAAGGCCATGAAGGCTAAGGCGGGCATGGGCGTGGACATGCTGTCCCCAGTGGACTTCCAGCGGCTGCCAGGCCCAGCGATCGCGGAGCTTGCGGTC